GGTAATCGCACAATCAGCCGAACTCTTTTACCAGCGAATTGCAACAATGCATATGACATGTGTCGACCGGTCAGTTATCTTGTTAGATTGCAGCTTTTTTCATTTTTTTTAAATCGAGTTTAATTTTTCTTTTTTTTAAATTCACAGTAATGCGGCATCTCGTATTATCACTTTGAACATAATGATATGTTTGGGGAGCTTAGTGAAGAGTACAGTGGAGGGGACTGTTTGGATGTTGCCTGTGTACTGGGTTTTTTTTGTTAATTTCCTTCAAAAATTTAGATTTATGAACCAAAAAACATCTAATTCCAAAATATATTTATTACATTACCAATTATATTTTTCTTACTTTTTTGTTTGTTATGTATATAAAATTGCATGGTTATATAATATATACATAAAATTACGTAGGAGCATTTCAAATTATATCTATAGTTATATTTTTTTGGTTCGAGACCACGTAAATAGCCACATTTTCATCCATATTTACGTTCGTGAAACATAATACCAAGACCGCTCAGACAGTTAGTTTGGTTATCCCATGTTAGTGATGTTACTGGAATGCTCCTCTGCGCGCCAGGTGCAGTTAAGCCAAAATCTGATCCTGGCTTGCATACTTCCAGAAAAATAACTGTTTTTTGTAAATGCATGAAGTAAAAGCTAATGGATGTATCTTATACACAGTTGTAACGGTTTTCTTTTCCAGGTTTGTTGACTGGTTTAGTTACCACATGTCCAATTTTGAATACCGCTGGTCCTGGGCCGACTGGGATGATTGTTTGGTTTTGAATCAGCACGCACCGAAGCGTTATTTTGTTAAGGAAGTAAGTTGATAATTGATTTTATCACTAACGCGATTGCATAGTATTCATCTCTGAAATTCCCGAGCTGTAGCAGACCTGTAATGTGAAGCTAACTGGGGGATGAAAACCTTTTTTGCAACTTCTTTTTTTAGCAAGTTGGGCGCCGAACCATAAATTTAGAACCATTATGACTCTGAGTTTATATTCTCAAATCATAATCGATAAAACTTCCACTTCTCATTATCATGATTTTTTATACTCTTTCATCTAGACAGTTCTTCATCTCACTCTGCTATTGTTGTTGTTATTATTATTATTATTTCTGTTATTGTTGTTATTATCATCATTAATATTATTGTTATTATTATCATTGTTATTACTACTATTATTGTTATTATTATTGTGATTATTATTGTTGTCATTATTGTTATTATTATCATTATTACCACCACTGTTGCCAGTGTTGTTGTTACTTTATCATCTTTACCATCTTGATTGGCATTTTCTGTTGTTAGTGGGTCAGTAAACTGTAACGTTCATAAATAGTTATGTTACATTTGAAGTTGATTCCTATAGTGCTGCGCATTCATTTTTTGTTCTGAAAAATCCGCGGCTTAGCCATGTATTCAGAAAGTTTACGGTGGAAATAGGCATCGTTTTTTGCATAAATGTACAGGGCTTTATGGATCCAGCCTCCAGACGCTTCGTTTTAGTAGTCCATCGTCAGCGATTCGCAGTTTGCGGAGAATTGCATAGCTCCAGTTAGTACTCATCGGCTTATTTGATGCGTGCTGCCTTTTTGATGGAAGACTCCGGTTCTTTTGAATACCTTTTTGTTTAATTATTCATCACAATGTTGAAAAACACTCGGAGCATTTCAGGTTATCGAGAAATGTATGAGGTTTTCATATCGCGAAAAGATTTCTGAATGCTTGCCGGATTCGTTCGAAGAGATAGCACCAGAATATCCGTTAATCTCTTATTCAGTGGATGAAGGTATGTTTTTTTTTGGAGCAGTACTACTAGTCTTTTTTAGAATGAAATGCAGGTTGTTCCCGAATTTTAGAGCAAATCTGTGCTTTTTTTTCGCAGGTGATTCTTTCTGTGTTTTTGCTAGATTTGGCTATTTTCATTGCATTAGGACTAAATTGAGCATTTTTTGACTCTGGGATCCTTTGCATTTTTGTAAGTCAAACAGTTCCTAGCTAATTTTTTCGA